TCCCGCTCGTCTTCTGACGTGGGTCGAACTAGTTTGACGCAACATAGAATCGATACAGGCGATCATCCCCCGATCAAGCAACATCCAAGACGTCCTACCGTTTGCTAAACAGGAAGAGGTACGAACACTTTAAAAGATATGGAAGAAAGCGATGTTATCGAGCCTTCAGCAAGTCCATGGGCATCTCCCATCGTTCTTGTCAGAAAGAAAGACGGCTCAACAAGATTTTGCGTTGACTATCGCCGGTTGAATGAGGTTACGAAGAAAGACAGTTACCCTCTTCCTAGAATTGACGACATTTAGACACTCTTTCTGGAAGCAAGTGGTTCTCAACACTTGATTTAAAGAGTGGGTATTGGCAGGTAGAAATACATCCTGATGACCGAGAAAAGACGGCATTTACTACGGGACAAGGGCTTTGGCAATTCAAGGTGATGCCGTTTGGACTGTGTAATGCGCCGGCAACATTCGAACGTCTTATGGAGACTGTTTTGAAAGGACTTTCCTCCGAAGCCTGCCTGATATACCTGGACGACATCATCATCGTCGGAAAGAGTTTTGAAGAACATTTAGAAAATTTTAGGAAGGTGCTTCAGAAACTGAAAAAGCCAATCTGAAGCTGAGTCCCGCTAAATGCAAATTGTTCCGAAAGGAAGTGACTTATCTGGGACATGTCATCTCTGCAGAAGGTGTACGCACGGATCCTGAAAAGGTATCAGCGGTTAAATCCTGGACACGTCCCGAAAATGTCCATCAGCTGAGAAGCTTCCTAGGGCTTTGCACCTACTATAGGAGATTCGTGAAGGACTTTTCTTCCATCGCAAGACCCCTTCACAAGCTGACAGAGAGCAAGCAAACGTTCTTGTGGACAAAAGAATGCGAGGATGCATTTAACAACTTAAAGGAAGCTTTAACATCTGCTCCAATCCTGACGTATCCTCAGCTCGACAGACCATTTATTCTCGACACCGGACGCGAGCAATGAAAGTGTCGGTGCTGGTTTTGTCCCAAGAAATAGACGGCCAAGAACGTGTAGTAGCGTACTGGAGCAAGTGCCTGGTCTAAACCGGAGAGGAATTACTGTGTCACCAGGAAAGAGTTGCTCGCCATAGTCAAAGCTGTAGAACATTTCCATCATTATCTATACGGCAGAAAATTCCTCCTCCGCACGGACCATGCATCATTGACCTGGCTTTTAAATTTCAAGAATCCTGAGGGTCAAATAGCCAGGTGGATACAGAGACTCCAAGAATATGACATCACTATCCGTCATCGTAAGGGATCATCACACGGAAACGCCGACGCCCTGTCTAGAAGACCTTTGCCAAGAAAGCTGCCGATATTGTTCCAGGGTGGAAGCGAAATACGAGCTGCTGACTCCGGTCGCAAGACAAATTACAACATCAACATCGGCTGATCGAGAACCGTGGAGTGATGATGAAGTCAGGAAAGACCAGCTGGAAGACCGTGACATTAAACCCATACTTGATTTAATAGAGTCATCAAACAGAAAACCTACATGGCAGGACATTTCTATCTGTAGTCCTACAACAAAACAATACTGGGCACTCTGGGATTCACTTCACATTCGAAACGGCGTCTTATACCGGAAATTCGAGTCGGATGATGGGAAGACGTTCCGATGGCAACTTATACTTCCAAGATCCCGCGATTCCTGATGTCCATAAGAACACCCCTACTGGAGGTCACTTTGGAATAATGAAGACCTTGCAGAGAGTTCGTGAGCGCTTTTTACTGGAATAATGCAAAGGATGACGTGCAAAGTGGTGCCGATCTTGCGATGCCTGTGCAGGTCGGAAAGGACCGAGGAACGCAGCCGAGGCAAGCTGCAACGTTACAACGTAGGGGCGCCTTTTGAACGTATCGCCTTTGACATCCTGGGACCTCTGCCACGAACTGCTGATGGCAACAAATACATCGTCGTTGTCATTGATTACTTCACCAAGTGGCCTGAAGCTTATCCTATTCCTGATCAAGAGCTGTCACAGTAGCTGAGGTAATGATACAGCACTGGATTTCCAGGTTCGGAGTGCCTCTTCAGTTACATTCCGATCAGGGAAGGAATTTTGCCTCGGTAGTAATCAAAGAACTATGCAAACTACTCGGCATTGACAAAACTCAAACGACGCCATTGCATCCCCAGTCGGACGGCATGGTAGAGAGGTTCAATCGAACCATCCTTAATAACCTCTCATTAGTGGTTTCCAGAAACCAGCAGGACTGGGACAAGAAATTACCACTCTTTTTTACTGGCTTACCGCAGTGCTGTCCACGAGACTACCGGCTATTCCCATCACAGATGCTCTTCGGTCGTGACCTTCGTCTGCCTTGTGATCTATTGTTTGGCCGCCCTCCGGATGCTCCTTCATCGTCTGAGGAATATATTCAAGATCTCCAGGCCCGGTTTGAAGTGATGCACAACTTTGCACGAGAGCGAGTCAACTTGGCGACGGAGAAGATGAAGACCCGCTACGACACAAGAGCTACTGAACATCAATTCCACGAAGGAGACAAGGTGTGGTTGTGGAATCCGACTCGACGGAAAGGACTTTGTCCGAAATTACAGTCACCTTGGGATGGCCCGTACACAGTCCTAAAAGGCTGAATGACGTCGTGGTTCGGATTCGTAAGTCTTCGAACTCTAAACCTAAAGTCGTTCATTACGACAGGTTAGCTCATTACTATGGCCATAGTACGTAATGTAAATAATTGTAAATAGTATAAGACCATGGTCCTTTTTGTTTTTAAATGTGTATTTGATTTGATTTGTATTTAGTATTTGATTTGCATTTAGTATTTGATTTGTATTTAGTATTTGATTTGTATTTGTGTTTATTTATTTGCATTTGATTTAAGTTAGTTATTGCATTTATTGTTCATAGTTGTTTGATATTGTAATGTAATGCTTATTAATGCATTTATGCCACAGTTGTAAGTTTAGCTTCCTGTCCAGGGATTGTACTGCCCGGGACGTGCAGTCCTTGGGAAGGGGGCAGTGTTACGAATTTGGTATTTAAAAAGCTAATGTTAGTTCAATTATAAATTAAATGGTTTTATTTCTCGCGCAGTGCAGCGCGTGACGAATATTAAAAGAAAGCTAAGCCGGAAAATTGAAAAATACAAGAGCGCGTGCATTAAATAAATAAATATCTCTTTTTGATTTCGAGAAAGTACTGGAAAATTCTAGCGCGTGATTTTAAAATCTTATAAAAGGAGGAAAACATCTCAGTTCGTAGTAGTTGCTTAGTTTGTTGTTGTTTAGAAAACTACTCTTGTTGATTGTAGCGAATTCGCGGATTAGCGTTCTTTAGCTGTTTTGAATTACGTTCTATTGGACATTTGAGTAGTTAAAAGATAACTACTGTGAGATATTGTAATACTGATAATTTGAGATAATGATAATTTGAGAAAATTTAAGCATTTTTGTTGTGATAATAATAAATTTTTGTTCATTTTTCATCGGACTTGTGCATTCATTTCATAACGAACCCGTACGCACGCAACATTATGAACTGGGAGAATCAAAATATAATGAAAATTTATATTCTTCCAACCATGCGCTTTCCCGTTTAGCCGTTGGTCTAGTATACATCCAATCTTATGAGTTACGCATAACGCAGATGAAAAGGTGACTGCCCAAGCGACTGATTAAAAAAGTTCTGTAAAATTGCTTATTTAATATTTTTTACGTTCTTGCTTTAAAAGAAGCCAAATAATTTAATTCCTAAGCTGCAAAACTTTCAAACTTTTATAACAAATGCATCAGAGGATAATAGAATATTAGAGTCCTTAAAGTATAATATTACATATACGTACTAAGATAAAATTAGTCAAATTACTGTTTAAATAAAATGCTAAGAACTTTATAAAGTGAAACAAAAAAATAAGAATAAGGAGACAGATTTCATTGCGAACTATTTAAAGCCCCGATCAGCTCCGAAAATCTGTTGCTTCCCATAATGAATCAGCAAGGAAATTTTTGGACTAACAAACAAAATTCAATGAGCACTAAATTCAGAATCTATTTTTTAAAGGAAAGAAAGACGGATAGGAAAAGAATAAGGATTTAATAAAATAGCCTAACATTTCTGCTAAAAGTCTAATGTTTTGCAAATAATTCTTTCTAGGAAGGAGGAAAGGAAGATTAATAAATAAGTAACAAAATCAGTATTAGAGAAATATGAAATAGTATGACATCATATCCTGCAAAACCATATTTTAAAAGAAAATCATGTGATCTCTGTCGACTAAATCCATATTTTGTTCACTTCTGTTTTATTTCAAACGCCATTGTAAAGAATATTAAATTTTTAGAAACGAAAAGCACGGTAAACTATATTTAACTTATAGTCTAAGCTAGCTGGATGTGCTGATCACTTACAACTCAAGAGCATACATGGGAGAATCAGATAATTTCTTACACCTTGATTAATTTGACTAATTTCCTAATCTTTATGAAAAAGGTTTACCTTATTTAAGAATGTGTAATGTTTTACGTTCTTTATAAAAAAAAATAACAAGTTTGACTTCCACATTACAAAAATTGACCGAGATATTAAATTCTGAAATTAAGGATATTTGTTGGCGTTTTCAGCTTGCTTTGAAGGGTCGGTTAATAAATTATTTGGAATGATTCGAGAAGAAATATTTCTCCTTAAATACCACTTACTTCAGAAAGCATTATTACAACATAAAATAATTGTTAACTAAAGAATCAAAACAATAAAATGTGTGAAAAAGAGAGAATAGAATTAAACGAAACTTTTCCCACTAAAGATTTGACCCCAAAGTAACCACCAGATACAGCAGCGAAACACTAAAAGTTTGACTCAAGTTTGATCCTCAGTGACAGAATAGAATTTTTTTTGTGTTTTCCCATGTTTAATTCAGAGAGGTTTTCCTTCAGTTAGCTGATTTTCTCACAGTTTGCACTGATTAATTTATTAACGAACTACCTGTAAGGCTTTCGTACGTCTTACCTTTCTGAGAACTGTTTTGATGATCCATTGGGCAATAACCTCGGGCAGGATTGGTAGTAAACAATAAATGGCTCCATACATGACTACGGTGTCTGGGGAAGTTTTGAGCTCCTCCATGCGGCGCCTCACGTCCCACAGGCGGGGAATGGCGCCTTCCGTGTTTGATGGAAGACGAACGTGGACCTGGGAGAACCTACATCCCATCGTAGGAATAGCAGTGGCATTACTCGTCTCATGACGTAAATCCACCGGTATGCTTAACTGAAATATACACAAATTGATTCTATAATCAACAAATCTTATTTATTGCATTCTACCAAAACTAATTCTACCTACCGTAATGCTCGCATAAAAAATATTAGATTTCCTTTTAAACTAAACTTTTTCTAAAGTATTATTGAAACATGACGTAATTGTTAGAAAGGGAACGAACCAAACAAAAAGTAGCCACATGAGCGAATTTAAAGAGACTATTATTTAGAAGTCATTAGAAAAAAAATTCTAATGATTGTATTTAGAAGAACTGAAAGCGAATCTAATGACGGTATTTAAATATCTGCTTATATTTTGTAAATATAATTCAAAGTTTAATGATTCTGTTACAATAAGAGATAGCTTAGATTTATCTGATTTTTTATGAGCAGGGAACTCAAACAAACGAACCTCTTATACTAAAGAGGTTCGTTTGAAGATATTTCCAAATATGTTTGTGCCATTTGTTTTTGTCTTGAGTAATTTCCATTTTTAAAATATAAAAAAGCTGCTTAGTCTGCTTAATTTAGCTAAGTAGTACAAACTAAGTTATTCCTTTGGAAGCTATTACACATATAACTATTAGATCTACCTTGGATAATGATATGTTTTCTTATTATTTATCTCACAAAAATATGTTGGACAAAACAAAAGGCTCATGTTCCTATCACGAGCAAAAAATTTCCGATTCTAATACGTATCACGTCTTATACATTTTTAATTTCGATTAGTTCAAAAAAGTCTTACTGACTTGAACTTTTATTTATAAGGAGTTTTATATAATTACACTTGTGCTCAAAAATAAGCAATGCACCTTAAAAGGAAAGGTACGAATGTAAAAGGGGAATTTAAGAATATAATTTTCATATGAGGCAAAAATTGCGTCGCCGAATGCAGATAGGAAACAAAAATTGCCATAAAACGCGATTCCGCAGTCACACCACAACGCCTTAAAAAGGGACATGCCTAGGCTATGCTTCAGTTCGCAAGCAGCGACAGTTCCGTGTAATCTGGGGTAGCCAAAGAGGAAAGCATGAGTCTACACTGGTGTGCAAAAATTACGGACGAAGTCGAAAAATTAGCATATCAGCTGAACGAAGAGGCAGAGCGGAAAGAAAGACCAATCAGGAAATTAAGTAAGGCGATGTACGGTAGCACATGCGCAGATATGCAGGTAGACGTAATGGAGGAGTGTCTGAGTAGTATAAAGCATGTTGTCGGTGTAAGATCAGTATTTCTGGCAAAGAGATTGCACGCCGTATAGCAGTTAAATCACACCGAGTTGCTGCCTCAGCGAGAAATGGCGAATAATCAATCTGTTAGACGACATCTGGTGCTTTTACCGGAGATCGAATCATTGGGAATTGGGGAAGGCCGCAGTTGACAAGTGTGGCTGCAGAGTTCGGAATTGCTCACAGAATCGTATCACGACTTTGGAGACAATTTCAAAACTACAGGACAGCTAGCCGGGGGTTTAGTAGTGGTCGTCCACGAGGAACCACACCCGCAGATGACCGGTATATTGCCTTACAGGCCAGAAGAAATAGGCGGCAGACAGCGGGAGAAATCGCTAGACACACGACACAGGCGACTGGACGGCCGATATTGCGTTTTACCGTGGCCAGAAGACTGCACGGTGGTGGTCTGTTTGCACGACGCTCTGTACGGTGTGTACCTCTAACGCCTGCCCATCGGAGAAGGCGTTCTCTGTGGTGCCGGGAACACCTGTTATGGTGTTTTTGAATTTTTACCTTCTAAATTTTCCTACGTTACCAAAAGGTACCCTACAAATTGACCATAACATCAGAATACTCTTACCACAGAAAAGTACTAGTAACAATAAAGTTGAAAATTTTGCGTTGTGTTTATTCCGGATTAACCCTAAAATCCATTTGAGTAAAGACTGGTGAATATCATGAGCACCACACACACACACACACAAAAAATAAATAAACATTGACTGATCTAGAAAAGTGAGCCTATTTATTAAATCCTTCAAGAATTACTTAATCCATTAATTTGAAAGCAATTTATATTCGATCAGAACTGTAACATATTGATGATTACACAACGCATAATTAACTTAGTAAGCAAATTATATTCAAGCTGAACTGTAAAATATTGTTTTCTACAAATGCATACCCCTACAGAGTAATATTACTTTTATCTTAGACTCAATAATATCAAACTATTATTTCTATTACATTCAGGTAAACATAATCAGATAAAACTTTGGATAAATTAACAATACCCTCCCGGGGAGAAAAAAAAGAATAATTAACAAGTTACACTTTCCAAAAAAAAAAAAAAAAAAAAAAAAAGAAGCATTTCACACAGAATAATCAATACCAAGTAATTCAGGTTATTGCACATAGTAACTTTCTATTTTCAAAAAGAATGATTTTTAACCGGGTAAAATGTTAATTAAAATCAGGCTATTACATCCTACAAGCAATTTAGTCCCTAAGAGGAGCAAAGAAGCTCAATAATGACACCTTTACCAATCAATCCTCACCATGAAAGAAATTCACAAGTTCAATTAAATAATTTAATGAAGAATATATTTCCTTAACCAATCTAAGTTACGTTCACTGTTTCAATTAAATAATTTAAATAAGGATATATTTCCTTAGCCAATCTAATAATTTAATTTATTGACAAACAAAATGATTTCATTAGTATTAGGTTAATTTACTCAACTACAATATTTTAATTCAACTAATTAAGTTATTTCAATCACTATTAACTGCAGAATTTTTTTAACATCAGACTAACAAAAGTAAAAAAAAAGAAAAAAAAAAAACTTATCTGAGTAATCACAGGAGGCAAGTGAATAGGAGGAGGAGAAAACCCTCATATGGAAAAGAATTATCATTGATGCCAAGGAGGACGGCTGCCAAGCGTGGTGGAAAGGGAGAAGTGAGAAGTTCATATGTAGATGAATTTTCAATGGAGCCGAGAAGTTTCTAGTTGATTTAGGATGCACTATGGAGGTTCCAAGTCCTTATGCTAGTTGATTTACAATCCAATATTGAAGTTACGAGTCGTTCAGCAAAGAGAAGAATTCTGAAGTTACATCAGGAAATCGGTTAGTGGAATCGACGAATCCATCCTCACAGGTCGTAGACGCAACGAGGAGTAGACTCAAGCCAAGTGATGCATTCTGTTGTAGCGACCCCGGAGCTAGCAGTGAAGGAATTTCTTGCATAGTGGAAAATAATTCTTAAAGGCGTAGAAACATCGGACAGGTAAGACTATTGTACATCGAGACAGATGAAGACTTCTTGCATTGGAAATAACTCTTAGTGATTCGTGGAGGAGAAACTGAAATTTTCTTCTTAACGGCACAAATACCAGGCATCACCTTTCGTTGCATTTTTCTATATTATTTATCTTTTGAGTAACTTAAATATTCAAACACAAAAAAAAAACTGATGAGATTATAATTTGGTCGAGGACATGATGCATAAAACTAAGTCCCTCGTTCAAAACTCAAGGGCAAGAAGCCCGTAGATCCAAAGGTGGAAAAATGCATCTTCCAAAAAAAATCATCTGCCGGCGAGTACAGCGTCCGATGGTAAGTCAAAAGTGCAAAAAAAGTCACCTTGTCCCTCAAAACATCCCGTTAAAAGGGAGGACGCCGGACTGCCAAGTTGGCACAACCCACTCTTCGCCAAAAGTTAAAATAGTTGCAACAACAGCATACCCTCATGTTATCAAACTCGCCAAATCCACTACTTTGAAACCTCAACGGAAAATTCTATGTCGCCAAACCCTCGCCAAATAACACACAACCTGTGGCAGGGGAAAATTAGGAATTTCAACAACCCTGCAAGGGTCCCAACGAAAGAACGCTGAAACTCGCAAAAAAGTGACTTTTCACCGGAAAAGAGGGCATTTCATCCCCCTTTAACTAAAATCACAAGCAAACGAAGAAAAATTTACTAATTAAAGCTCATAACTGAAATGCAATTAAAGTTAGAAAAAAGAAAGTTATGTCAAATTAAAGAGCTAATTATTCTGCAACTAATGATATTAAATACTAAGAAATGAAATTAATTTTTGACATGAAAAACTGAGTTTATTACGTGAAAAAAAATCACATATCCATTGTTTGCGTGTACAAGATTGACGACGCAGTTCGCGTAAACAAGCTCAAATTTTAAATAATTACAAATTAAAATTTTGATTTTTATGAATCACTTAATTAAATTAAATTCGCTACACAACACACCGGAATTGGAGAGACAATGAATGGGGACGAGTACTCTTTACAGATGAGAGCACATTCAGTCTGAGTAGAGATTCTCATCGCATACTCATCTGGAGAGAGCGGGGAATCCGCAATTATCACTCGAACATCATTGAAAGGGACAGGTATGGAGGTGGCGGTGTTCTCGTTTGGGGAGGCATCATGCTTGATAGTTGTACAGACCTTCACAACTTCGACGCAGGTTCAGTCAACGGGACCCGTTATTGTAACGAGATTCTTCTTCCATATGTGCGTCTTTTTAGAGGCGCTATGGGTCCGCAGTTCCTTTTCATGGACGACAATGCACCATGTCATCGCACAGTAGCTGCCGAACAGTTCTTAGAGAGTGAGGATATTGAACGTATGGATTGGCCGTTACGATCTCCGGATCTCAATCCCATCGAGCATGTATGGGAATTTCTAGGCAGACGTTGGCAGCTCGTACCTTACCACCAGTAACGATTCCGGAGCTTCGATTGGCGCTGCAAGACGAAGGGCAGCAATGCCTCAACAACCATTGACACCCTCATTCTCAGCATGGGCAGACGCTGTGAAACCTGCCTAGCAGTCAGGGGAGATCATATCCCCTATTAAAGACCGGATGTTTCTTGCTGGACACCCATTACAGGGATGTTTCGGCCTTCAGTCGCATTGCGCTCCATGCTACTTTTTCAATAAAGCTTCTTTTTATCCCTCTGATTTCTCTTTTAGTAAGTGTTGCTTACATTACTCATGGTCCTTACGTATTGGGGATCTT